CGGATTTTATATCGCCATCAATCATGTGTCGCAGTTTGACTCGGTCTAGACGAGCTCACTAGTCCCTAGGGATGTTGTACCTGTACCCCCATCGACCAATAGAAGGATTAAAGTGCAAGTTAGCACTAATAGCTTATGCTACCAGTCTCGATTTCTAGATGCCAAATGGATCATGGCAAGAGCTGTCTTCGTAGTATTTGCACTGAGCTTCAAGAGTGATGCTGTAGTTCAGGCGGTAGGTTGTTGGTGAAGGGGAAGGCAACGAGCAGGGGACGAACTGGTTGACTTTCATTGAAACCTGCGGAATCGCATTCAGGGCAGGCTGGCGGGCGTCTGATGGCGGATCAGCCGGTTGGCCCATTCATTCCTGTGCTGAGCTCGCATGAGTCCCAGAGGATTCAGCTAGAGACGCATTACAGCGAGTGTGCAAGAAGGTTCGAGCAGAAGAGGATAAAATACAGATCAAATATCATTCCTCTTTTTAAAATATGTGATACCAACTTTATAAAGATCAAAGACCACTGCAAGGGGTTCCAATCCTTCATCCACGATTCGAGATTTTAAGAGTTCGGATTGTATGCCTTCGTTCGGATCAATTCGTCAAGGTGTCCGTCCGCGAACCACGGTTTCATGCTTTACATGCTAATCGAGGTAAGTTTCATCAATACAAGGTTTTTATTTAGGGTTTTACTCAAGGTTGATTCAATGTGAAGAATTGATGAAAAGGACCTGAAATGATAATACATTCCTTCTTGGGGACTGAAAAAAGCACCTCCCAGCAAGTGGGATTAGAATGAATAAATGACGAATATGACCAAGGCATGTTCCCAAACAGCTACAAGAGCTACCAGAGGGACGGATTTCGCGGATTTCAAGGCCTGAGCCCGTGGACAAGCCATCGTTTGATAATACAAGAAATAGTCCACACTTATGTGACTAAGGTGGGTACCATTTCACCAAAGTGGATGTCTAGGCCTGGACTGGTGCTCTTGGTTGACTCACTGTGGACGGACAAGATGGCACCAGTTATCATGCTGTCCAGTCCGCTGATTCTGATCACGTATGAGACGACGGCTTGATCTATATTTTGTGGCGTCTCCCGAACGTGGACTAGCAAGGTGTATATATCACGGCATACATCAGAAACTCCAAATATCTCAGCGTTCTGCCCCAGATCCGCGCGAGCGAGCTAAGGAGTGTTAAGTGTGCAACACACTGTCAAACAGAGACTCATGACTTTTGTGTTATAAAAAATAACCAGATTACCCACCATGTATTCCAAAGGTCACGTCGGTCGTGGTGGGAAGATCAAACATTGTACCACCACGTACTGAAAGCTTATTATCTGCTGCGCATTCAGCATCTTGCCAGGATGTTATAATACTATTGAGTGATGAAACGTGAGTCAATGCATCCATCGTGTTGTGTTTTCTCGACTTGAAGTCCTGAATCTCCATTTCAATATAGACAGAAATATACACTCCCTTCATAGCCAGATTCTCTGCCCGGGAATATCTGAGCCCTCTTGCACTCCAGTCGTCCCTATGTTGTAGGGAAAATCTGCAAGTATGCATCTATCTGGTGAGAATTGTTTCACTCTCATTATAATATCCAGAACTGTTGGAATTAAGTCATCCCTATGTTGTACGGAAAATCTGCAAGTAGGCATCTATCCGGTGAGAATTGTTTCACTCTCCTTATTATAATATCCAAAACTCTTTATTATAATATCCAAAACTGTTGATTTAAATATGGGAGTGTTAGTTATTCATCACTTAGGGCTAATTAGCATTGATTCTAGTCCAAGCGTTTCTTTCATTGGTAAATGCAAGGTTATAGGTTGTTGGGTTGAGTAGCAATCATGATAAGGTGTATGGTATTCAACCAATCCTTGATACTAGGGTGAGGTTAATTAGCTCAAAGTGATAACTAGCACTCCCCTTAAATATTTAATGTTATTTTCAAATAAGATCAAATACAACTAATGTGAGCAAAGCATGATGCCTGTGTGAGCACAAAACTGTACTCGCATGTCTTTTTATCCTTATGAGAGTTAATATTTTGGATTTAAGCTCTTGCAAAATTATCCTTGGGGTTTTCTGAAAGTTTCTGCAAGATTAGGAGTTGGTGTGATGGTTAGGGGGCAAGAGGTGCGGAAGGAGGCCTTCGGGGCAAGATCTTCGGTGAAGGCCCTTCGGGAAAAGGCCTTCGGCGATGAAGTGAAACTCTCATAACGTTTTCAATGTGTGACGCCTTGACTCAGTTAGTGTCTTGTTGGAAAGAGCTCGCGATGCTCGTTCCAACGAGACCAAGACTTCTTGAAACGGATAAGGCATCACCGAGTTAGGAGTGGCGGAAGTTTCTGATATAGAGGGCCTTCGGCGGGTTGCGCGTAGGCGGCCTGCGCTTAGACGGCCTGCGCGTAGGCGGCCTGTGCATAGGCAAAGGCCTTCGGCGAAGCAGTAAAACCGGCATATCTTTTTCAATTCTTAGCGGTTTGACTTGATTCGGGTCTCGTTAAAAAGAACTCAACGCGTTGGTTCCAACGAGTTCAAGATCTCTTAAAACGGATTAGTCATCACTGAGTTATGAGCGTCGAAGTCGGCTGTCATGGTTAGGCGAGGGGCCTTTGGCGTTAACATATAGAGGGGCCTTCGGCGTTAACAGTTAGAGGGGTCTTTGGCCCAAGGACGCCTGCGGATAGGCGGCCTGCGGGTAGGACGCGGACGCCTGCGGATAGTCAAACGCCTTCGGCGGAAGAGTAAAACCGTCATAACTTTTTCAATTCTTATTGGTTTGACTTCGTTAGGGGCTCGTTGGAAAGAGCACAACACGGTTGTTCCAACGAGCCCAAGAATGTTTCAAACGAAGTAAGGATTTGTGAGTTATGGGCGTCGGGATGACTGTTATAGATAGGCAAAGGTGCGGAAGAGTGTCTTCGGCGGGGGATGCCTTCGGCGGTGCGCGGAAGAAGATTTCGGACGGCAGATGTTGATGTGGTCATAAATAAAGACTGTACAGGTGTGGCAGTGGCGGGGCATGAAGTCGCACATTGGAATCAGGCCGTTGCCCATCATCGCGGAAACGGCATTCACGCGGCCTGTGGGTGACTCGGCCCTTGGACGTCGGAGAGGATTATTCGGCCTGCGAGCTGGGATTGTGTGGTGTGCCATTGTGTGGAGACGCTGGAGGGATCGGTAGGAGTAATAGAGTGTGGACGTGAGTGATTTTCGCAGGGAAGTGGTGAGTATTAGGAGTGGAGTGTGGAGAGTTCGAAGTAGAAGAAAGCAAACTCTCGTGGGTGGAGAGTGGTATCGTAGAGTGAAAATTAGAGTGGGAGCTGAGATTGAAGTGTAATCTGTGAGTGGGATCCGAGATTGAAGTGTCATCCGTGAGTGGGATCTGAGATTAGAGTGGAAGACCTGAGAGTGGGAGCTGAGAGTGAAGCGAAATCTGAGACTGAAATCTGACAGTCGGGATCTGAATTTGAAACTGAAAAGGGAGAGTTGAATCTGAGAGAGGAATCTAGTGGGGTTTGAAGGTGGAAGCTAAGAAATCGACACTGAAATATGAGTAGGAATTGGGAGTGGAACTCGAAGCTAGTATAGACCACAGCGGCTGTGGTATTGAGGAAGTCACCTAGAGTTGGGTTAGATCTTTATGTAACAAAGAGCTCGTCTACTGCTCTTGTGGAGATAGCAAACAGCAAGTTATTATTTTCAATTCTGGATAATTTGTCTGTGAAAGAGCAAGTGTTTATGATCTCATTGTCTTGAATACACTTTGACCACATGGTTGAGATCAAAGAAGTTAGATTATGGGAGCTCGAACCTCCACCTTGACTACAAACGCTGAATGGTGGGGTGTTTAGGCTCACAGCCTGAAATTCCTCTTGAAAGCAAATGTGATAAATGTCGTGCATCACACAGATTAAGCATTTATCGTGAGAAGAGTGAGTTGCACAATGAATGGCGTTTGAAGTGTTTTTTCAACATTAAGTTTTTTCAAGAAAAAAACGGTTGTTAAAGGTTGCATTCGGAGAAGAAAACCTTCAAAACTTGGATATTTATGTATCGAAAGGTTTCCATTTGACATAAATGTCTCCATGCACGACATTTTTTAAACCACGTATGTGCATATTACGGCGAATATATAACAATCATACAACCAACAATTAGTTTATCTAAGCATGTATATTTCAGAGAATATTTTTTAGAAATTTACAATACTATGCAATTTTTGCAGATTCTCGAAAGTGACACACTCTAGATAAAGTATTTGCAGTATATTTCAACTTTCTTTTCAATAAATAAATTTAAATAAATGAAAAAAATTATTCTAAATGTTATGGAAAATAACAGAAAACTTAGAATGAGCTTTTGAAACTTAAATTACAAAATTTATTACATTTAATTTCAGCTAAGCTTACATGTCAATATGAAAGTGTCATACTAAATTACGTACCTAATAAATCAAAGATATATGGAAATAAAATCTGTAATGCTTGAACTCTTATATAAAAATGATATGGATAAAACAGTGTAGAATTTAAGGTGTTAGACTCTTGATATGTGCAACATGCATTTTTAGCAATCTGTGAGACAAATTGAATGGGATTTGAGGAAAATCCCCTGAAGTCTATCAGTTCTTTACTGTCGATTCATGGAAATTTATGATCATGTTAGTTTTCGTACATGAAGGATAATTCAGGATCCGTGACCAAATAGTGCTCACATCACAGCATCCAACCCGTGGACCGTACAACTAGATCCATGGCATGATACTCGCTTGAAATAACTTATCTAGCATAATGCTAGATAATGATAATCGAATGCTAGTAGCATTCCATTGATGTTCGTTGACCAGCACCACTCGCGGATTCTATCGATTGAAACCTCTATGAGATGGAAAGGGATGGCTATTACATGTTTACATGTGGAGGACAAGAATTTAAGAGAGTAGAAGCTGGTTACAAAGCTTTCTATTCACTATTAAATAGATGCAGGGCACCTCATCTTGTATCTGGGAACTCAGGAAGCTTTTATTTAAGACCCTAGTGTTGCCCTCGGCGAATGCAATTGGAAGCGCAAGAATGATGCTTTCTGACTGTCAATCTGCTGCAGCCATGGCTTCCCAGGGATCTCGTCTGCGCTCAGCCGTGGGCATCATCATTAGTTTCATCCTCGTCTGGTTACCCACGACGTGTGCCCCTGGATTCATGAGCGATGGGGTAGGCGGGCGACGGCCGTTCGAGTACCTCGTCTTTCAGAACTGGGAGACGATGCAGAGTGAATTTGGATGTATGGCGATGGGTGTCAATCTCGTCAATTCTCCGAACGAGAAGTACAGCCTCGCACAAGCCACGATGTGCCCGGATCGAGAATTATCTTCGAGGAACATGAGCTTCGTGTTCGGAGTGTCGAACAGTCCAATGTCGTTTGACTTCCCTCCTCAGGGCTGGACGTGGACAGTTCCCGTCGATTTCCACCAACCCACCAACAGCTGCTCTCTTCGATTCACGGTCGATGGGGACTTGCAATTTACCGTCCCGATCAATCCCGCGGACTATGGACGTTCCATTGCATGGTCTCAGAGCCGTGTTCTGTGGAGCTCCAACACCAGTGGCCTGGGAGCGGTGGAGGTACAGGTCCAAGACAATGGGAATCTCGTCCTCGTCCACGAAGATGGCAAGACTGTCGTCTGGAAGGCTCTGGACATTCCCGTGCTGCCTCTCAATGAAGCTGCAACTTCGACAACCGGATGTCTGATGACTGCAATGTCGGCCGTTCTAGTCGCTCACGTGCTTCCGCTCCTCATTAGCTGTTTATGATCCTGACATACTTTTCCAGAGTTTGGACATTCCAGGTTTCTGAAAGGAAGCGCAGGTTGTTAACCGAAATCACCGAACCTCTGAGTAGATTCGTCTCAGTCACTCACTGAGCTTGACTGATACTGCATTTCTAAGATTGCATTTGTAATGTAAGCGGAATCTTTTGCGCTAGATCTAGAAGGCCAATGTGTACTGGGAGGAGGTTTGATTTTGCTTTACCTCCCAAAAGGGATCAGAAAAGTTTAGACATCGTCCGAATGCTGTGAGCTATTGGAATCATATTTTTGAGCTCAACGAATTGGCATGCTTCTGCTTCTGCATTAGTTACAAGGAATCGAACGAACGAGGAGTGTAGTATAATCCTTCTTTGGGGTAGAGGAATGAAGTACAAAACCCTGTTGGTTTGTATCAGATCCTAGAACCCTAAAACTCGATGGAGCTGGGGTAAACTTCAAGAATTGTCAATGACTCTTGCTGATTGTGAGAGAGAGATCGACAGCTCATCAGATTCTTTATGACAGTGACTTCTTAGCCTTTTGTTTTTTGTCGTGATGAACAGCCAACACAAGTCAAACTCTTGTAAGTGACATTTCAGTGTCTTCTGCATCGAGCAGCTATGCAAACGTAGGAACTGACGCGTTGACGTGATTACAGCTTGCTAAGAACGTCGTAGAACTCGAAACCTGAGTCGTTCACCGGACATTTTCCTATTTGATGTCGTTTTCTGTATTATTATACAACAGCAGAAGTATAATACACATATGTGTACTCTCATTTTCACCCTGCAGTGATTTGATTTAATATTTCATATTGTAAAGTTTTACTTGGAGAAATGGCATCTGAAGCAAGAAATATCGAATTTGAAAGTGGTTTTAATTGCCGAGAATTGCTGGTCGATAGCAAATTGAGAGAACTACAGACTCGATAATCAAAAGACTAAAACATTAATGTACGCCTAAATGTATAATTACATTCAAGCCAACTATCACGCCCTCGAGGTCAACCTTCTATGTAACAAGACTGCAGGCTAGAACAGCCCCGACCGTATGACTGTGGGTTGATGGCATACGGTCACCGTCGTGAGCGTATCTCTTTTGTCACCATCGACCGCACACAATTTGGTAATCAAATTCGACACGTGGACAACCGATATAAAACACGTGTCGACGTGATGGAAAGGGACGCGAGCCCGACTCGGCTTGAGGCAAGACAACCTGAAGCCCCGAAGGCCGAGCCAACAACGCAAGCCAAGGCACCACGCAGGCAGCTCTGCGCTCATCTGTCCGATCGGGGCTATTGCGAATCACATGAACAACATGCTCTTCGGGGCATTCTCCGCAAAAAGCGTTGCAGAACAGCCATCGAGAGGTAGCGTCGCTCTACAATTTTCTTTAGTTTAACTTCTCAAGTCAGGAACAAGATGGACCGAATGTTTACCCAGAGATGGACCTAAAAGCACACTACTTTGATCGGCTTCGATCGACAAAGAGTGTGGATTTTGTCTAGCTTGATGGGATCATGGAATTGTCAAGCTGAAATCAGTATATAGGAACGAAGTACATGAGATCATTGGAAAAAATGAATTGTTTTTCCAAAATGCTCAATTCCAAAATGCCGATTTCTCACTTCTTAATTCTTGTTGATTTCGAGCGAGCTTGATCCGCCATCGCCAATCCGAGAGAAGAAATGCTACACGAAAAAACCGTCCAGACTAGTCTTGGGCTGGAACCACGAAAGCCGGGGTGACAGTGACAGACTAACGGTGTAAGTATACCGTAAACCCGGAGATCATACAGTCGAGGTTGTTCTGGCCAAAAGCCTAACTGAGTTAAATTTCATCAATACAAGGTTCATTTTGTAAGGGTTTAACTCAAGGTTGATTCAATGTGAAGAATTGATGAAAAGTACCTGAATTATTATAAATTCCTTCCTGAGACTGGTAAAAGCGCCTCCCAGCAAGTGGGATCAAAATGAATGAATGACGAATATGACCAAGACATGTTCCCAAACAGCTAGAATAGCATCCAGAGGGACGGAATTCGCGGATTTCAAGGCCTGAGCCCGTTGACAAGCGATCGTCTGATAATACAAGAAATGGTCCCCACTTATCTGACTAAAGTGGGTACCATTTCACCGAAGTGGATTTGTAGGACTGGACCGGTGCTCTTGGTTGACTCATTGTGGACTGCAAGATGGCACCAGCTATCATGCTGTCCAGTCCGCTGATTCTGATTACGTATGAGACGACGTCTTTATCTACATTTTGTGGCGGCTCCCGTAGCTCCGAACGTGGAGAAGCAAGTTAGGTTATATCCCTGCATACATCATAAACTCCAAATATCTCAGCGTTGTGCCCAAGATCCGCTCGAGCGAGGCAAGGAGTGTTAAGTGTGCAACATACTGTCACATAGAGACTCGTGACTTTTGTGTTTCAAAAAATATTCAGATTACCAACCATGTATTCCAAAGGTCACGTCGATCGTGGGAAAATAGGATCGCCCATCAAACGTTGTACCACCACGTACTGAACTGCATGAAGAATCTTCGGAATTGGAGTTGGCACAGGGTTCCGAGAAGCACTAAGTCGTCAAATCGATGAAAGACTCAAAGGTTCAGTCCAATAGTGTTGACTTCTTGTCACTTCTCCTTGCCTGCCTTCTTCTCTGCTGCGCATTCAGCATCTTGCCAGTATGTTATAATACGATTGTTTGATGAATCATGAGTCAATGAATCAATCGTGTTGTGTTTGTTCGACTTGAAGTCCTGAATCTCCACTTCATTAAAGACACAAATATACACTCCCTTCATAGCCGGATGTGAGCCAAACCTTCCCACCTTTCAGCGTTTGTAGTCCGGGTGGAGGTTCGAACTCCCATAATCTAACTTCTCTGATTGCAAGCCATGTACTCAAAGTGTATTCAGGACAATGAGATCATAAACACTTGCTCCTTCACAGACAAATTATCCAGAACTGAAAATAATAACCTTGCTGTCTACTATTTTCGCAAGAGCATCAGACAAGCTCTTTGTTACATAAAGATCTAACCCAACTCTGGGTGACTTCCTCAATACTACAGCCGCTGTGGGCTTTCCTAGATACCAGTCCCACTCCCAATTCCTACTCAGAGTTCAATGTCGACTTCTCAGCTCCCACCTTCAGACCCCACCAGATTTCTCTCTCGGATTCAACTCTCACTTTTCAAGTTCAAATTCAGATCCCAACTGTCAGATTTCAGTCTCAGATTTCACTTCACTCACATCTCCCACTCTCAGGTCTTCCACTCAGATCTCAGCTCCCACTCACAGATTACACTTCAATCTCAGATCCCACTCTCAGGTCTTCCACTCTGATCTCAGCTCCCAGGCCGAGCACACCACTTCCGTCTCCACACACGCACACCACCAGCTCTCGCACACTGGTACACTACAAGCTCTCGCACACTAGGCCGAACACACCACCAGGTCTCAGCTCCCACGCCGAACTCTCCACTTCGAAGTCCAAGGCCGAGACACCCACAGCCCGCCTGCATGCCCCACTCGCAATGATGGACAGCTGCCTGCTCCCCCTGCGCGACTACACGCCGCCGCCGCCGCCACACCTGTACATTCTACATCCTGACCACCCGATATCCGCCGGAGGGGATCTTCTTTCGCGCACCGCCGAAGGCATCCACCCGCAGAAGACGCACGACCACACCTTTGCTTATCCATAACAGTCACTCCCGACACCCATAACTCACAGACCCTAGCTCTGTTTCACAAGTTCGTGGGCTCGTTGGAACGAGCAGGTCGAGCTCTTTCCAACGAGACCCTAACTGAGTCAAACCGTTACGAATTGAGAAAGTTATGCCGGTTTTACCCTTCGCCGAAGGCGCCGGCACGAAGTTCGCCGACCTCGAGTTCTCCGGAGGCGAGTTTTCCGGTTTGATGTCTTCTGGTTGGATAGCTTCCGGTTGGATATCTTCCGGTGAGATAGCTTCCGGTTGGATAGCTTCCGGTTGGATATCTTCCGGTGAGATAGCTTCCGGTTGGATAGCTTCCGGTTCGATGTTGTCCTACCCTATCCGCCGCTTCCGACGCTCATAACTCAGTGACGCCTTATCCGTTTGAAGAGTTCTTGGTCTCGTTGGAACAAGCGTCGCGAGCTCTTTCCAACGAAACCCTAATCAGATCAAACCGTTAACAAATGAAAAAGATATGCTGATTTTACTGTTTCGCCGATGGCCCTTCCCCGAAGGCCCCTCTATCCGTTATCTGTTACGCCGAAGGCGTCCGGAGCCGAAAACGTCCGGAGACGAAGGCGTCCGGAGCCGAAGCCGTCCGCAGTTGTCGCCGGAGGCGTCTGGAGCCGAAGACGTCCGGAGCCGAAGGCGTCCGGAGCCGAAGACATCCGGAGCCGAAGCCGTCCGCAGTTGTCGCCGGAGGCGTCCGGAGCCGAACTCGCCTCAACCCTTCCCATCAGTAACTTCCGACACTCACAACTCAGTGATGCCTCATCCGTTTTGAGCGTTCTTGGTCTCGTTGGAACGAGCGTCGCGAGCTCTTTCCAACGAAACACTAACTGAGTCAAGGTGTCACACATTGAAAACGTCATGAGGGTTTCACTGTTTCGCCGAAGGCCTTTCCCCGAAGGAACTTCACCGAAGGCACTTCGCTGAAGACCTTGCCCCGAAGGCCCGCTTCCGCGCCCTTGCCTACTAGCTATTACATCAACTCCTAATCTTGCCAAAACTTCCAGAAAACTCCAAGCACAACATTGCAAGAGCTTAAATCTAAACTTTTAACTCTCATAGGGGTAAAAAGACATGTGAGCACAGTTTTGTGCTCACACCGGATTCTCTGAGCCCTCTTCCACTCTAGTCATCCCTATGTTGTACGGTAAATCTACAAAGTCAACATTATCTGGTGAGAATGGTTTCACTCTCCGTATTATAATATCCAGAACTGTTGGAATTGAATCAGCTTGAATGCCACTGATGTGAGCAAGGCATGATGCCTGAAATTCCTCATGAAAGCACGTGTGATTGATGGTGTGCACCACACACGACTGAGTTGCACATGTCAATTCCATGAAAGTGCGCAGTGAATAAAAAATTTGGATATTTCGTTATTGAAAGGTAAACATTTGAGATAAATGTAACAAAGCATGAAATTTAGAAGCAACTTGTGATGTCATATCTTCGACATAATATGACATCATACAGCTAGAATTAATTTAATAAGTAATTATATCTCAGAATATAATTTTTAGAAATTTATGAAATTGTGAATTATTTGTAAATTTTAGAAAGTGATAGACGTCAGAAAAAGTATTTGTAATTTATTTCAAATTTAATTTTTACAAATAAAACTAACATGTAGGAATATCGTTACAAATTTTATTTAAAGAAGGAAGTTGTAATGAATTTTCAAAACTTAAATTACAAAATTTATTTCATGTTACTAGGCTTAGGTTATATATTTAAATAGAAAATATTCGTAATAAGTTAAGTTTATTTATAAGGAACGAAATGTTTGAAATTTTATTCAAAAGTGATCATGAATAGACACAAATTACTACTTAGATTCTAGTATGATAAATTTTTCATATAATATAGTGATAAGCTCTTGATATATGTAACATGCATTTTCAATAACTTGTGTTGAAATGTCAGATAAATTTAACAGATTTGAGTAAAATCTATCTCTAAAGTCTACTAATTAAGTCGATGCATGGAAATTTATGATTATGCTAGTTTACAGACATGAAGTATAATGCAGTATCTGTGACCAAATAGTGAT